GAGCTGTCAGTGGAACCTATTCTGTGCTGTTTGTGGTCATTTCCCTGAAGAACTTAGAGTGGCTTAGAGTGCCTTAGAGTGGCTCCATCCCTTTTCCTTTCTACTCCTGTCTAGTGTTGGCTGTGCAAAAGCCCTGTAACACTCCAAGAGTGAGTGGGGAATTGTCAGGCTAATGCTTTTTGCCCCCTTAATACTCTGGCACCAGACCAAGGGCTGTATAAGGCAGATCTGTGAGCAGAGCTTGCCAAGGGTTTAAGTGGTCTCTCTACATCTGAACTAAAAGAATTAAAATTCTTAGTGGATTATAGGTTGTATCCATGACAACAAACTCGCTCCCTTTCTCTTTTTGGGGGGGATCTCTTGTAGTATAAATATGTTGCCAAACAAAACGCTTCAGTTTATTTTTTTTAGCAAACGTTTACATAATAACAGCATTAATTAAAAAGCAAAAGTGGTCGTCAGCATTTTGATGATTGTATATTTTTTATGCCTGGTATCATCTTATGAGACTAGAAGTCTCTTGACTGTGCAAGTCAATAATGCTTTTGTTCCATAGTATTAGAGGGAATTCTGCTAGCCTAAAAGGAGTGAGGATAATTATTAACAGGAGTTCTTGTGCACTGTATACCTGTAGTAGTTAAAGGAGAAGCTGCTTAAATTTATTCTGACAATTGCAGATGCAGCACTGGAGGAATCATTTGAATTATTCATTCTGCAACAAGGAAACATCCCACTTGTCTTCTCTTCAGAATTGAAATCCCAGTCTGATTTAAAATATGCTTTAAAATATATGGGGTTGATTTCTTCTTCTTCTTTTTTTTTTTTTTTTGAAGTAACTGCTGTTTTAGGACTTCTATTATAATTACCTGTGAATGCAAGTTTTCTAGAGAAAATAACTCTGATTTCTAAAAGAAAGGAAAAATTGATTTTTTTACATGAACTGCTTCTTGTAGAATAGATTTAATGAAATTCAGCTTTCTCTCATAAATAATGCAGCACTTGCATTTGATTAGGTGAAGCCTAGAGGAATTTCTACCTAATCAGATGCATAGCAAGAAGCATATTGCCTACAGACTGTTACTATTATCAATGGTGGTGGCAATGAAAACACAGCACTGTGTGTGTCCAGGCAGAATGCTTTGTTTTCTGAAGAGAAGTTATAAAACACCACATACATTATAACAGCTGATTTTTTTTGCTGGTGTCCCAGCTATTTGTAAAACAAGGTCTAAGTTCTGGGTCCTGCTATTATTGTGGAATGAAGAGACACCACGTTACCATGATATCACATTGTAAGGTATTTCTTACTCTTCCAAGAAATAGACACATGTGCAGAAGAGACAATCTTTGCATCAGAAAAATTTCAGTTGAGGTAAACAAGGTAGCTATCAGAAATTGCCAATATGGAAAATCTTGAAAAACAGCACAGCCCTTGCAAGAGCATAAAAATGAAAGAAAAGAAATCTATCTCCCTTCTTTCACGAAGATAATAGATCATGTGCAGCAAAAAGCAAAACAGTTTGCAAATGGAATATCTGCAGATTTTGCAGAAACCTTTTGAGAGTTTTTCAGCAAACGTTGCTTTAATTAGTTATCTCTGGTCAAGTTTTATGATGTTCTGTGAATCCAGCCACAAGGCTTTGTTCTGCTCTGTTTTATCCCTAGGAAGCTGCTATTAGAAGCAGTGGGTGCATATGAAGAGGGCAGGATAGACCATTAGTCCTTAAGTCAATGTCCATATTAATACGTGGAAAAGGCTCTGGGACCCATTCTGTAGCCCTGAGGTCAGCTGGTATGAATTGGCCTGCAAGTATCTGAGAGATTGTAGCTGAGCCCAGGCTGACTTTTGGGATCAGACCCTGGTCTGGGCTTAGTGCTGGGCCCCTCCTGGGAACTGTTTCAAGGTGGGCCATGCAGTGGCTCTGGTTGCTTTACTCTAGGTGATGCTGTCTTATGGCTTGGTTATGCTCTCTGCTGAGCTCAGTTGAGCATCGTGCAGTATCACCATCTAAAATAAGATTCCAATACAAACTTAAAGAACTGAACCTTAGTGGAAAAGCCCAGCACCACTGCCTTATCTCCCCACGCTCAGATTTTTTTCTCCCAACATTTGTTCGGATATGTAAAATTGCAACTGTCATAACTTCTTCAGGCCAGATGCTAAGCTGGCTTAAGCTGACAATTTGTGCTGGTTGAGGTTCTGTTTTTTCACTTACATTTCTTGGAAAGGGCAGTGAGATGTAATGAATAAATGTAAAACATAAGAAATAGAGCCCAGGATACATGGAGTAGTGTCTGCATCCTATGATTTGCTGTCAAGAGGCTTTAGCGCTGAGCTCAGAAATGTATTTATGGAACCGTTGGTCAGAACTGTACAGTTTAGAGGTGAAATCAGTGCTGTTTTTTAATCTTGAATTTTCATTCTTCTGCAAATTGTTGCAAGCAAATCTCCTGGGCCTAAAATGTCATGCGGAGCAGTAGAGGCCTAGAGGAGAATTAATTTCTGAAAGTTTGAGGACAAAACCATCAGTTTTTGTAGAATGCTCATCTGTTTCTGGATTTCCCAAGAATTGTCTGAAATACCTCTGGCTGCTTATGTGTCAAGGGACTTCATGTCAGATATAAGAGCTCTTTTTATACAAGTACTGGCAACAGGGGTGCTTGGCTTTTATCGTAGCCAACTGGAAAACAAGAATCAAATATAACTACCAAAACTTTTTAGTTGAAAGCAATGTTGAAATCATGTGGGAGAGGCAGGAAGCAAGACTGAGCCTTTCGTTATTTGCCAAAAGGCAGATAGAACATTCTTTACTCAAGATGGTGTCTGAGGTATCACACAGAACTGCATCCCACGTCGTGAAAAGCAAGCAAGTATGATCCTGTCCATTGCTCCACGGCCATTCCTGTGGAAATTTTCCCCCAGTCTTCTCATCCAGGGAGGCTTAACCTTGCTGGCCAGTGGAGTTTAGGGCTAGGGTAACATTCAGCCCCTACCCAGTGATCACTTTGTCTTTTACTGACTCTTCGCCAAGTACAGGCAGCCTCTCACATCCACAAGTGCTTCATACTGGCTGGGTAGCTTCAGTGATGGAAAGTGATGCTATTTTTTGGCTAACCTTCTCTTTGTTTCTCTGTAACAAGACCAATTAAGGACCTCTTCCAAAATCATTTAAGCCATGAATGCAGGTAGTGTGGATGAATGTTGTGCAGATAGTGCAGATGGTGGCTTGTACATGAAAACTGCACCTGAAGGCTTGCATCAGGAGAAGTGATTACTTCTGACAGACAAGATACTTATCTGTACAGGAGGAATGTTGTCATTAGATATGAGTGATGGTTATTGCACTTACGCTTTGTCTGTATAATACTCTGAGTTTATATAAAACGTACACAGCTCCATCCTTGGATGCTCTGTCCTCAATGATGTGGCTGTGCGATGTTTGTCTGCCAGGCTCAGTGATGGGTGGAAAAAGAGTTTTGGGGTTTTTTTCTTGTTTAGCTGTAGGAAACATCCCGAATTTGTTCCTGGTGAGCGTCCTCTTTGATTCTCAGAGTTTCCTCATGTGTTTCTGGCTTCACCCCCAAATAAGGCCCTGCCAGAATCACTTGTATGCTGTGGAATGAAAATATGACTGATACAAATGTTGCAGCAGTGTATAAAATGCTAAATTATTCATGGTACTTAAGTACAGAAAATCCCAGGGCTGAACTGACAAAATGAGGAACTCCAGGCAAGAAAAAAACCAACATGGAAAGTCTTAGATTAAAAACATTCTCAAAATTTAGAGTTAGACCACATTATAATCTTAATCTCTGCTTCCTTTAAATGCCCTTCCTCGTGCCTGAGCTGTCACAGCTAACCATTTTTAATGTCATTATCCACATCTCTTTCCCATGAATTACAAAGCTATTATCCACACTTTACAAACAGGGACCTAAGGCAAAGAAATGCCAAATGACTTGTCCTGGCTTGAAATAGAAAATGTGCACTGGCAGCAGGATTTGAGGCTAGGTCTCCTCAAACCGAAGCCTTGGCCATCTTAATCTGCTTCCTCCCTATCAGGAATAAAACGAGCATCAAGATGGGGTCTGTGGGCACCTTCCTTTCCAGCTATTCTCCCAGCTTGTGTGGGATCTCTGTGGACATCTCTCTCATATTTCTTCATTATCATCATGAACCTCAGTTTTCATCCATCTGTGGTACAAATGGCCCTGGATCACTTTCACCTCTGGAGTTTTCCATTGAAAAACTTACAAGCAGCTGAGTGGACCACAATGTGCTTTTTTATTCATAGGGAATTTTAACAGAGATACATTGGGCCCAATGTGAAATGTTTTAACTGAAACAGATTTAAGTTTTTGTTTTGAACAGTTAAAAGAAAGAAGAGCCAAGTGGTAAAAAATAAAATAAAATACAGCTAGAAGCTCAGGGAATTCATATTATAATGCAGTCTGTTTACAGATTTTTTTGATCATTTTGCTTCATCCTGAAAACATGGTTCAGCAGCTGATTTCAGGCTTCACTTTGCCCTTTATTAATGTCACTTTTATTGTGGGAAACAGATATTTTTTAAAAAGCCACAGATCAGTTTAGCTGTGTTGTGTTGGTTTCTGTATATGTCAAAACATATTTCCATTGGAAACATATTTGTGACTGAGGGTTCTTGCTTGTTTGAGAAGCGTTTTGAATAAAAACATCCAGGCTGCTCTGATCACTCTGCCTTTTGCTTGGAGGGTAAAACAGCATTTCAAAGCTGTTCAGTGTTCCCTTCTGCCCTGGAAGCATAAGGGAGCTGTAGGAGAAGATCTGATTTACAATCTCTCTGGGAGTTGTAAAGGTTCCTCCTGATGCCATCAGGACCTGCAGCAAATGAAAGGAAGATGTTGTTTTCCAGTTTTCCATCCCATTACCGAGTGCCAAACAGCAGTGGTGGCTGGACAAGTGACTTGAGCTTTGTGTGTCACTTAGCATGTGTAACTTGATATTTCCTTTTCCCCAGACTGTACCCTCGCCATGCAAGTGCTCTCAACAACCTGGGGACACTGACCAAAGACGTGGTGGAGGCAAAGGACTACTATAGACGGGCCCTTCAGTTAAACCCGCAGCACAATCGAGCTCTCTTCAATCTCGGCAATCTGCTCAAGTAAGTTGTACACAGACCTGGGAAATCCAGATTCTCTCTGTGCACATCACCACAGTGGGTTTTCTGCTGACTGGTGAAGGAATGGCATTAGTTCTTACTGCTGGCACAGGGACAAGGCTTAGTCTGGATGTCCTTATGCTGTCTGCCAGGTCACTTCAGGTGCTGTTTACAGCGATGCTTCAGCTGGAGGGCATTTACTTGTTCCAAATTAGGCATCAAAAAAGGAGGAGTGCAAATCCAAAACAGTCACCTGAGATTTCCATCTCAATGAAGAGGTGTAAACCTTTCCTGTGAAGCAAGTCCTGTTGTTCAAAGGCAGGCATTTGATGCAGATCTAATGAATAACACATACCCAGCAGATCCCTCAGAGCAAGTTCCCCTTCTTGTTAGTTGGCTGTAACTGGAAGGTCTGCTGTGTAGTTTCAGTATAAGCACCTAACTTTCGAGGTGCTTGATGAGGCAAAAGAGGAGGTTCATCCAATTCGAGGGGTGGTGTGGGTCTGGGTTTGAAGGGAAAGCTGGCTTACATCCCTGTCTGGTTCCTCTAATGAGCAAGAAAATGAGTTGATCGGCTCCTAATTTGATATGTTGTCATTTAGAGCATTAGCCTTTAACAAGGAGAATAGCAATCATAATCTTGCAAATTAATTTGACTAACCATTTCTAAAGACTGAACTTAGATTTGCAAGAAAAGCTTTGCTACTATGTTAAAAACTTCTAGAGGTGCAATTAAATAAAAATAATCTCTGTTAACCCACTGCTGTTTTTTTGACATGATAGTGTTGTGGGTTTTTCCCTTGCCTTGCCTTGCTTGCTTGCCTTCCATCACTTTGAGTGTGAAGTTTATGTGAAGGATATTAAGTAGATTGCTGAAGCTCCGCCTGGTACATTTGGTAATGGAGAAGTGGTCAGACTAATACTGCTGATGGTTTGGGGTTAGACTATGGCAGATTAGTAGTTATGTAGAAGGCAGGTTAGTGCTTTACTGGAAATACTCACAAGAAAGGTAAAGATGGCCTTACTGCAAGATAAATGAAAAGTCTGTATTATTTGTGATATTTGGTTGATTGAAATTAGCCTTAGGTGGCAATGCAGTTTAAAAATATATATTGTCTTCTTAATCCATCTCATTTACTTTAGTTACTATTCTCTGTGATTTTTTTTTCTAAATATAAAATATTAATACAAAAAGACAAAAGGCAGAAGCAGCATTGGGATATTTTCTGTCAATAACACTTAAATCTGGCAAGCTGATGGGCTCTTATGACCCAGCAGATGGGCAGAAACTGGATTTGTTGCGCTGGCAAAGCGTAAAGGAGGCCTGTGGGAAATTGTCTTAGAACTGCTGTTTGTTTTGTGTGCAATATGTCATGTTTCTTCCTGATGTGATATTTAAGACACTGTGTGATGCATCAGGTTGTGTGTACTCTGCATCCTTCTGTGGTGCCACATACTGCGATATGTTAAAGGTGTATGATATTTCTGCTGATCTCTTTAAAACAAAGCTCTCAAAGAGGGAGAGTTCCCTCTCCCCTTTTCCCATACCTATTTACTTCTATTTTCTAAACTTTTTTAGGCTTCCAAAGCAGCCCTATTGCATCTGACCGCACTGAAGGTATTAATTATAACAGAAAATGGCTGTATGTTATGCTTAGGTAGAATTCCTGGTGAGAGATTAGCGCATATACGTGTAATGCAGAAGCACCAGCACTTCTGCATAAGGTTTACTAATCCTGAAGGAAGTACACGGAGGCAAGTTATCATTCATCAGTTTAATAGAGAGGTTCTCATGTTACTTGGGGTGGCCGGTCAGTTCATCTCCTTCAAGTTCTCAGTATTGCTTACTGGTACAGTGTCTGCCCTGGCATTACCCCCAGTGGATACCAGTGGTGGCTGGCTGGCAAGATGCCCATGCCACCCCTTAGTACTGTGGCCATATATGTAACAGCAGGAGACAATAAGGCATCACGTATCAGGATAAGAAGTGGAGTCATTCACAGAGAGCAAGGAGATTGATTTAGCAGTTTCTCACAAGCAAGTTTGTTTTAGCCACATGCAGAAGCTAGAGGTAGTTTACTTGTGTTCCCAAGCTAACACGAGCCCTTTCTCACAGGCTAGTTGCCTACTCAGGCTGTGATTTGTATTTTTCCACAACATGTAAAGCAGATGCTGTGTAAGAAGCAGGTAACGGTGATAGGGTGAGAAGGAATGGCCTTTAATTGTGTCAAGGGAGGTTCATGTTGGATATTAGGAAACACTTCCTCTTAGAAAGATTGATACTGTATTGCAGCAGGCTGCCCAGGGAGGTGGTGGAGTCACCAGGTGTTCAAGAACCGTGTGGATGTGGCACTAGGGATATGGTCAGTGAGCATGCTGGGGATGGGTTGGACTAGATGATCTTGGTGGTCTTTTCCAACCTTAGTGATTCTGTGACTCTGTGACTTTCTACCAAGTTATCCTTTTATTCAGCCTGATCTGGAGAATGCACTGAGAGACTGTGTTCTACTGGGAAGAAACCAGTGCTGTGCTGTGGGTGTAAGGCGAGCAGAATTATGCAGACACTAAATGCTATTATAATCTAGGTAATGAACTGAAATTTGCAGAATATTACAGGCGGATATTGCGTTCTGGCTGTGACATGAGACGTTAGAAAGGGTGTTTTGATATTTAAACTGATGGCAGTGAGAAGTTAAAAGGTCAGGACATAGAAAGGATTTTCTGTTCTCTTAACAGAGGCTATGGTGATAGCCAGATATACTATACCAGATACAGAGCAGAAAGAGTTTGCAACATCCAAATCTTGTCTAGTAACTGCGTTTTGTATAATGGGACATGTAACAGAATGGTCTGGCGTGGAATTCCCAGTCAAATTCTGCTGCATTCCTTACACCCACTCAAATCTGATTGCAGATTCAAGATTTCACCTCTGCTGGGAAAGGGGAACTCCAGGGCTTTGGAAAGATGGGATTGCTGTTCCCATCCAGGAATCTGCTGCTCATTACTGCCTGGATATAAGCTGTCTGTTCAAGCATCTGTTCCTGTGATTTAAGCTTGAGTAAAAATTTGTTTGGAGAAAAACAAGATGGAAATTTTTCATTATTATTATTTTGTTTTCTCTGGATACCCTTGATTAGAAAGAGATTCCATTTTCTGTTTGCATATGATGAAGAAAACTGCATGCCAGAAGATGAATGTTCTCAGGAATCATTGCAGGACAAAGGCTGAATAGACCACTGGTTTTGTTTACATATTCTAAAATAAAGTTGTATGTCATCCTTTGCTTGCCTACAATAAATATTGGACAGTGGATAATTAAACAACACAGACAGATATCTTAGTTAAAATAGCCCCAGAAGGTGGCCTGCCTAAAAGTGAGAAATCTCTTTTTCCACTTTCATGTTCCAAAGCAGCTCAATGCTTTCGTTTTCTTTCAAAGTTTCCTGCTACATAAATACTTAACTCCTCTATATAGATTCAGCTTTGTTTACTTGCAGCTTGAAAAACTGAGATAAATATCTATCATTCAGAATACCTCACATAAATTTACAGCCCGTGGGATATTCTGTAAAGAAACAAGAAATAAAATATTATGAACATTTGAAGTAAATATTTAGGATCTCAGCTTTCTTTTGCAGAATGGGAGAGAACTTACTCTTTGCTGTACTCTCTCCATACGTAAAGCACTCTAATATTCAGTGCAGCATTTCTGATAAAGAAATGCCTCATAACTCTTATGTGCTTTCAGAGACTTTTGGCTGAATTTTCAATGAAGAGGTGAAGTGCCTAGAAACAGTCTCTCATGAGATCTTGAGTTTATTCAAAGGGATGATTCTGTTCTGCATGTAGAATCACAAAAATGCGTTTTTTACTCTTATTTGTTCCAAGTTCAGTGAACCCATCTAGTCAGAGTAAGGATTGCCTGCCTCCCTAAAACATGCTTTTGGGTATGTATGTATTTGAATGTGCTAACATGGGCTTCTCTAAGTGTCCAAAAATACTGGAAAGCATCAGGTAGATGTTATGTGTATTGAGGATCAAGATCTTTCAGAAAGTGAAATGTTCCTTCTTTTCGAAGAATCAAACTGAACAACAGTGTTCAGTGATGCTACATCTGGTTTTCTGGATGATTTCTGGTTAGAATACTCTCTATTGCTTGAAGTGCTGAAGTTGTACCACAGCATCACATACATATTTTAGCTCACTTAAAAACAAACAAACAAACAAAAACAAAAGCAAAACAAAAACAAACCACAAAAAACACTGGCAGCATCAAGTTTACTATAGATTCAAAGAGTAAATCAGATTGAAATGAACCTCTTGGAGATCATTCAGTCAGTCCCACAGCTCAAAGTGAGTCAGATTGGATCATGTTGCTCAGGGCTTTGTCCAGGTGAATCTTGAACATCTCCAAGGACAGCCTAGACCTCTCTGCTGGCCTTCCTCCAGTATGATCATGCCTTTCTTCCATGAGAGTGCCCAACACTAGGCATTGCTTCAGTCTCATAAATATTGTAAAAAAGAGAAGGGAGTTGTCCTATTTCACCATCAAGGGCCAATGGCCAACATGTTGTCCGCCAGGACCTCCAGAGCCTTTCCTGCAGAGCTGCTTTCCAGCCTGTTGTCCCTCAGCATGTGCTGGTGCATGGAGTTATCCAACTCTGGGCACAGGACATGAACTTGGATTTGTTCAACTTCTTGACTTTCCTTTCAGACCTTGTCCTTCTGAAAAGGCGCCCTTCCTTGCACTGTATTGCCCACTGCCCTGGTTTGGTGTCATCCATCCACATAGCATAGAAGAAAACCAAAGGTGTGCATCTCAATTATCTGAATTGGCTTAAACCCAGGGAGTTGAACAAGCTTAGGAGTTTCCTTTCAGACAGTTACACGCTACAAGCTTCCCTTGGATTATGGTGTAAAATCGAGGTGAGATGTTTAGAACTGCTGCGGAGTCCTTACTAAGTTCTGTGTTTCTGGCTTTAAAGCAGTCAAACTAACTTCAAATTGTAAAGCAGATCTTGAAAGTTAAAAAGTCCCCTAGAGCACTAATTCCTAGGTTACTTTTCTGTTGTGAAAGAAATTTGCTTCAGTGCTAATAATAGCCCACACAGCCCTCTGGATCCCCAGGCTTCTGGGGGGTAGTTTAAGCTGATGCTTCTCAAACTACTGGGCACTTGCAAAAATATGTAAGTGATGCTCCAAGGGGAAGAAGCTACTCTTTGCATTCAGCTATACCATGCTGGTTGTGGAGGGCTGGAGACGGAAGAGGGAATTAGGAGAGGGCATTGGAAACCAATGTAATTTGGGGAGAAACAGGATTAAGTGATCGTAGGCTCCTTGTGTCAGTTGAGTTTGTTCTTCTCTCTGTCATGTTGAAAGTATATATTACCTAGCTTTTTCTGCCACAGATCCCCAGTTTGTGGTAAATCTTTGGTGTATTTGGTGTTAGTGTTGTATTGGACTGTTCTCCCAACACTCAGTGTTCTCCCAGATTGCATGAGATTTGTAAAAACTACAGCCATGATTCTGAAAAGTGCTGAATATGTTGGCCTTGGTCCAGGAAAGCACTTCAGCCAGTAATTAATTTTCAGCTTGCATACATAAAAGTTAAGTATGTGTTTAAGTGCTTGGCCAGAGCAGTCAGTATCTTGCAGGATTGAGCTCTCTGAGAAACTATTGAATCTGCTTTTTGTAATATAACTCAGGCTGTCACATAAAAAGATGCCATAATCTTTCCCTCTCTACCCCCACTTTCAGGAGACAAACATTGTTCTTGGATCAAACGAAGAAAAGACCATTTAGGAAAAAAAAGAGTAATTAGGAGGACTGCCCTATATTCCTAGAGCATGCTTGTGGTTAATGGGATCTTTTACTGCTGCTGAGCGGATCACTTAATCCTTTTATTTCTGTAGCTGGCATTTCCTACATTTTTGCCAAACATCAATACCTTTATGAAGCAGTCATCTGGTTTTGATTTATGAAAATGTGTCATGAAACTCCAGCCAAGGAATCAAAAAGTTTTATAAATTGACAAGCTAGCTGGTCTCTAATTAGTGCAGGGGAAAAGTGGTTCTTTATTTGTTTTTGATTCATTCGTGTAATTTATATGGAGCACCACTGGTAGAAGAAAAAGAGTAGCACAACTGTTTTCACTTAGCATAATGGACAGGCAAAATGTTCCTACAGTTATATAACTAGAAAAGGGAAAAATTCTGCAAAGCCACATATATTATCAGCTGAAATTTGCACCTTATAAACAAGATCTGGTTACTTGACCCTGTCACTCAGATGAAATCTAAGCCCCAAGCGGCAAGGTGTTCACATACTTTCTCTGTTCCAGGGTCCTTTGTTTCTTTTTGTAAGCCTTGCTATTCATATTCCTTGTACACCCAGCACAAAGAAAATGTTGTTCCAGTCCAGCTAAGCATCCTTAGATGTTTGCTCAGGAAATCTTCTCGTTTTTCCAAGGGAAGGAATACAGAGTGGTACTGGTGAAATTGTAGCTTGAATAATAAAACATCCTTAGATTTTTGTTGAGGAAGGCTTGTCCTTTTTCCAGGGCAGTGAGTGTAAAGTAACTGGAAAAAATAATGTAGCTCATTAACAGAACCATTTTTCAATATTCTCTGCTCATAATCCATAGGATCTGAAGAATAGAATCCTCTAGCCTAACGATTGACATGGTTAGGAATTATTTAATGAGATCCAATACTTTTTATTTAAAACATTAATGTAATGAACTATAAGCCTGGATATATAACAGCACTAGCAGTCTAGCAACTTGCAAAGATTCCACAGCGTTTTTAGGAAGTGAAAATGCTCTGCACCTCTGCCCTGCAGCTGTGGGAGCCAGGTTGCTGGCAGATGTCCTATTCCCAGGTTACTTGGTGCCTCAGTGGCACAACTGGGGCCACATTAGCTGACTGCAGACCCACTGTTACCCCTGCCAGCATCCCCTCCTGGCATGCAAGTGACTTTCCAGGGACTCATACATGAGAATGCTTTTGCTGTCCTTCGTGTATCTAAAGATCCTGATTGGATGGATTAGGTACAATTTGGTTTATTTTCCAAAGGGAGAAATACTGAGAGTACAATAGGGCTGGAGAAGTTAACAAATCTAAAGGTTGTGACCTAACAGAGCATGTGGCCTGTGCTGATTACAGAACAGTCAAAATAAATTACTCTTTGCTCTTCACAGTGTGGAGTATTGAGGAATTCACCATTTGGAGAAGTTTTGTCTTCACTCTGTACACTGCATAATGCTCAGTATGAACAGTCATCAAAGGAGTAGACCAAACAGCAGATTCATTAAAACCTGTGTGTTCCCAGCTGCTGAGATTAAAAAACGTGTGGGTGCAAAAAGCACAAAGTCTCCAAATCGGTTGAGCAATTGCCCTGGTGAGCACGTTTCCCACTCTGGTATGAGGTAGAATGAGTTCCTTCATCTCTGCCAACGTGATACAGATACCTGTGTTGCTTCTTTCCTCAACAAGTGATCCACTTGCTTCTCTCTGGCTCCTTCCAGACACGTCTGACGTCCGTCTTCTTTCCTTTTGTAGCTTTCTGGGAAGGGAGAGGCATTTTTACAGCAGGGATGGGAGAAAGAGCCCACATTTGCTCAAACAGTGTGCTCTGCCTGTGAGCACCAGAGCTGAAGCAGGCAGTACCTGTGCTACTGTTCTTGGTGTGCCTGCCATTCCAGTGACATACAGAAGTCATATCAGGGACATCTGCATCACCTATGGGAAAGAGTATGTGCCAGCAAGCAAAACTGAGCATGTATGCAGTGACCAGAGAGCCCACCCTCTTTCACAAGGTGGGCAGAATAGTTTAGTACAGTGCAGGTGGTGCTGGGTGTGTGCATTGTGGAGAGGAGGCACAGGTGAATTATTTAGCCTTTGCTGAAAAGAACAAGACAGACTCTTTCACATCTCTTTCAGTGAGCTGTTCAGTGGGTGATCTGCTGCTAAAGAGCTTCTCTTTCTTTTTTTCCCCCCTCCCTCCTTGGCCTGCAGGTCTCAAGGGAAGAAGGAGGAGGCTGTAATCTTACTGAGGGACTCCATCAAATATGGCCCAGACTTCGCAGATGCCTACTCAAGCCTGGCCTCACTGCTGGCTGAACAGGTAACAGGCCTTATGTGGGGCTCCTGCTCCTCCTGAGGGCTGATGCACCAGTGCTGCAGTTGCAAAGTGGAAACACTCTCACTTCACACATGTGCAGCAAGTGCACAAGCCTGGAGCTATCTGGAGAGATCTGTTGGGCTGCTGCTTTAGAGATGACTTGTTCAGTATGGAAGACAACTCGGTCTCAATGAGTAATTACACCCACGTGGTGTGATTCTGAACTAAATCACTGTTAAAGTTGTGAATTCATGCACTTTCTTCTCCTCCCTACATCTTTAACAAAGTCTTTATCTGCACCTTGAATGCTGACGGCACAATAGGTGAGTGGCCCCCCCCCCCCCCCATGCACACCTACAGAGGTAACCTTGGGGTTTTATAAGAAAGCCTTCCAAAAGTAGGAAAAGCTAGAGACAAGATTTCTGAATTTCAGTTCTGCCCCTTGCATCTAACCCATCAGGATACCGCCCTTAATTACCACAGTCAGTGATCACATACAGTGGGTGGAGAGGCTCACTTGCTTTATGTTGCTCTTAATGAGCAGCTGTTCAATATTTGATTTAACCTCATTGTTCAATATGTGCCCCAGACCTTATTTACTGCACAGGGCCCAGATTGTGCTCCGGAGGCAGGATTACTCATTTCTTCATGGGCTTTTTCACCACGCTCATTGCTCAGGGCTCTCACTGCTTGCTGTGGTGAGGTAATTTCCTTCTAAAGGTCTCTGTGAGGTGAAATACTGTCTCCACATAGGAAAAGGGAAATTGAGGCATAAAAAAAAGTGTGGGTGCCCACACTGAGACCACCACGCCCTTCTTTCCTGCAAGCAGGCAGCAGCACATATGAGGGATGCTGTTTTGGGCATTGCTCCTATGGTCTGCAGCCACAACCAATAGCCCTAGTCTGGCCCTGTAATGGTGAGTGGTAAGGTCCTTGCACAGCAAACACAAGATTCTACACAGCTTTTGGAAACTGATTTTTCCTCCCTAGAATTTCAGATCTTACCGTTCTATAGCATGGGACGCTAAAGCTTTATAAATAAAAGCTTGCCAAAATGCAAATACAGACACAACAATGGAATGCCATCTTTCACTATTTTCCATTAGTCTGGTTAATTAAATTTTCTCTCTGCAAGTGGATAAATTTCAGCTGAACTGTGGCTTTGGCTTCTTTAATGATGTAGACACTGCAGAATTCATCTATGATGTATACAGGTTACTTAAAGACATGCTATTTTATTTTCCATTTTAAATGACTTTCAAGTGCTTGAATATTATCGATATCAGCTGCAGGAATCTAGAAATATAGTATATGAATTGAAAGAAGAACCTTGTTGAATGGGAACTCTCCTTTGAATGAGCCCCTCCATGAGTCTCCTGCAAGTATAGGAAATGAGTTGTCTGCAGTAATACCTGGTTTTAATATTAATTGAATTTATTAATTAGAACCATCAGTTGTAAGGTCAACAGAGCAATAAAACGACTATAGAGCCCTGAGGTCTTTTGCCCAAAGGAAATGTCATTAGTTAGGCCTGCAATAATTCATCTGCTTTTATGTATAGATCGTTCATCCTCTTGTGACTTGAGTAATTGCTAAGGAAGAAAAGATAGTTTGTAAAGTTTCTTTAGAAAATAACAACTTCCTGCAAGCTTTTAACACATTCTCATGTTCAGCCACAGCTGATGAGTGCCTGATTGAGCACCTCCTTCCTCACACACCCGTCCTAGTGACCTTGGCAGGGATCCTACCTCAAACGTTTGAGAGAGGGGCTGACGAGCTAAAAGCTGCACATTTAAGTAACGCTCATGAAGTGATCACTTCTGTGACCAGCTTCTGCTCTTTCAGCTTTGCATTAAGGCTGAGAAAGAGGAAAAACCAGCTGAAGTGATGCGGTAAAACAGTATCGGAACTGTAAAAAATACTGCAAGAGAAAAGTCTCCTGCATCATTCATCTGCTACATGCCATGATTGCCCTTTTCTCTCCTTGCTAGTTGATTCAGAAATCAGAGCCCACCTTCACACTGTATAGAAATTTATGTTGTTTGTTCCTTTTATAAGTGCATGCTCTCACTATTGCTCTCTGCTTGATAGCATAACTCACAACATATTGCTGCTTTCCCCAATCGTTTCAGTGGTACTAGAATGAGAAATCAAACATCTTTTGCCACTGTCGTGACCCTGTAACAGTGGTTCCCCTCTGAACCAATGCAGCTACACTGTACTTAGAGGGCAGTGAGGCCCTGGCACAGCTGCCCATAGAAGCTGTGGTGCCCCATCCCTGGGGGCACTCAGGGCCAGGTTGGATGGGGCCCTGGGCAGCTGGAGCTGCTGGGTGGCAGCCCTGCCTGTGGCAGCCCTGCCTATGGCAGGGGGTTAGGACTGCATAGGCTTATAAGTCCCTTCCAGCCCAAGCTGTTTCATGATTCTGTGAACACCTTCTTTCTAGCTTTTTCAGGTTTATCAGTCATCTCATACTACTGGATGGTTCTTTTCAAGCTCTAGTTTCTGGATCCAAAGGTTTCCTAGTATTTTTTCTTTTTTTTTTTTTTTGTTTTTCCTTTTTCTTTTTTGAAAGAATATTAGCCTACACTCGGAAAAAGAAACTTTTTAACCCACTTAGCTGCAGAAGAGAGCCTGCTCAGGTATATCCACACTGAAAATTCAAGTCATAAGAAAAAAAAAGCAACACAAAAGTAGGCTTAAAAACCCTGCAGTTTAACTGAGAGATCCTTATGTGCATAATTTTTCTAATATCATAAAAATCTCATACATTTTTAAGCCTGTCTTAAGAATTTTGTGGGCTTGATGAATGTTTCATGGAGGGCTGGGAAGTGGCGTTATTAAGTGTTAATGAGAATCAAGCCTTGATGAACTTAGAGCATTTCTCCTTGAAAGAGGAGCGGCTGTGAGGGGGAAATCTCTGGCAGAAAGAGATGGGCCCACCCTTCCCCACTTCTGACTGCTCTCAGTACAAATGCTTTGTTAGAGAAATCATTCCAGACTCTGCACTGAGCCTGAGGCGTGCAGGGTTAGGATGTTAGATGCCAAAAAAGCATTGTACAAATGCGTGTGCAATGCAACCGGGACAAAAATGCTAAAAGTGCTTAGAATCAGGCAGTGGGAATGCTTTGAGATGGCACTCTGCTGCTAATCCAGATTAGCACAGCCCTGTCTTGCTTCAAGATCGGGTTTATGGTCGATAAATAATACAAAGGAAACTGACATCCATGCATACAAAGCCGTACTCGTCTGCTGCAAATTAAAATTAGAGGAAAAGAAATCAATACAGAAAACTTCAGAATATACCTGTTAATGCATGTCTAACACACACACTTTCTCAAGAAGTTACTGTTCATTTCAGTCAGTTCTGATGGTTGCTTCACTTTTCCTGACCCTGCAGGATAATGACATCAAATTCACATAAACACATGCACGATGTCCAAACTTAAGCACTTTTAAAAAATGTGTTTCTGTGTTTTATCCCACCCTATCTTTCTGCTGGCTGACCTTCATCACGTAAATGTGAAAGCACTTAACCATGACAAACCATTTGCTTTCATCAAGCCATAGTCTTCCAGTGCTATTAATTCCAGCTTTCCAGTTCTGAAATAGGAGGTGAGAAAGGAGTCTGTTCATTTAAACAGCTACAGACCCAATGCTGCTCTCAGGTTCACCCTTTAAATCCAGAGGAAGCCCGGTACGCTCTGGGATTTGCAGGACTGGAGGAGAGTTCACAGCTGGACTGAACAGCAAAACCAGCTCTGCTTCACACAGAGAAGTGGACCAGGATCCCAAAACCAGTACTTTTTCAGGGACCGCCTTGACAGCCAGACATTGAGCCAAGAAGACACTGTGCTCTTGACACCAGGCTGTTGGATGCCAATCACAGAGAGCATTGGTGGGACAGGGAGTGAATGGATCCATCTCATTTCAGCTCCTCCGCATAAGGTCTGCTGTGGTGTTGCCAGGCTTTCCTTATAGGGCTTTGAATGGTTGATTTTGCCTGGGAGCTTTGTTAGGAGATTGTGAGGTTTGTCACCATAGGGCTGCTCCATAGAAGCGGAAAAATTGGGAAAAAAAAGTCTTTGCCTCAGGAGTTTTACCTGGCATCCCTCCATACTGCTGTTTTCCATTGCGAGCAACCTTCCTGCCCTAAGTACACCCAACAGCAAAACTCTGAGCTTAGGTGGGAGGAAAACCTTAATAAGTGGTGCTAGTGAGCATGTGGGCAGCTGGCACGTACTGTCTGGCTGGAGGGAAATGGAAACCTTATTAAGTTGCTATTTGATCCAAACTAGATGCCTTGTTTCTGTTTCAGGACCTGCTGCCTATAGCTCAGGCTAGACGGGTCACAGCTGGTGGGACACTTCCATAAGCAGGGTGTTCCCAAAGGAAAGATGTGCATTTTTCAGAAATGCTCTGCACCTACAAGTCTCCTTGAAATCTATGCAAAATGTAAGAGCTCAGCCTATTGGAGAATCAGCAATAGCACATCCCATCAGTCCCAGGGAGGTACATCTCACACATTGATAACACCTGTTTTTCATCTGAATCTGTCAGGTTTTCCCCACTCTTCCATCACCCCCAGTCCTTCTCCTGCTTCCCTCATTGCCTTGTGCAAGCTCCCTATCCCTCAGCTGTCATGCACGCCGAGCTTTCATTTCTTATTTTCCCTGCTGCTCAGGGAATGAAGAGCAGAGCTCCTGAGGGGGAAAGTTAGCCAGCAAGATGCTCATTAAACAAATAAATTAAAACATATCAGCTCCCAAATGACAGATTGGTAACAGAACCAACATGACCCCTGTCGCTATGTGTTTCCCAGCTGGGTGCATGCTAACTGAGGCTCACTAGCATTGCACACAAATTGCCCAACCTTTTCTAACTGATGTTTTTGTTTCACAGGTAGCTCCAGTTGTGAATGCATGGGGGGAAAGCTGTTAGGATTGCTCTGGCATACCAGAGTGCAGATATATTATGTCTTTGTCACAGGGTAAAATGTTGGCTGCTCAGAAGCTGGAGGCCATGTTCCCCTGCTAAGGGGCTTAGAGGGGGAGGGCTGGTGCCTGAGCTCCCTGTATGGCAAGGGGAGCACGCTGGTGGTGCCAACGTGGGCACTGCCTCAATTTCCTTTTCCTTTGGAAAAATATTCTCAGAAGGATTAATGCTGCAGTGGCACAGGCTGCCCGGGGTGGTGGTGGAGTCACCGTCCCTGGAGGTGTTCCAGAACCATGAGGTGTGGCACTGATGGACGTGCTTATTGGGCATGGTGGGGATAGGGGGATGATTGGACTGGATGATCTTACTGGTCTTTTCCAATCTTAATGATTCTGTGATTTTGTGATCCTGTTTCAAGGAACGGCTGAAGGAAGCAGAGGAGGTCTACAAGACCGGCATAGAGAATTGTCCAGAGAGCTCCGATCTGCACAACAACTATGGTGTTTTCTTGGTTGATACTGGTAAGTGAGATGGAACAAAGGATTTTCTCTCTCGGGATTATTTGCTTTGATTATTTTATTCAGCGCTATACTTCTAAAAGAGTTTCAGAAGGTACTGCAGAGCAGTAGCTGTGCCTCTACTGTAGCTTAGAAATAAATATCCCTGCTCTCTTGAGCTGGCAGTGTTCTGAAATGTGTAGTCAGTGCACTCACTGTGCAGCAAAGGCATTCAGCCTGCATGTTTCCCCCACTGTTTCTCACCATCTTTGCACAAGCAGTTCTCTCTTCAATTCGAGTTGGGCAGCACCCTAACAATTCTGCAATTTCTCTGGGATAGCAGGCAGCATCAAGTAAAACCTCAGTTTAAAACCCTAGGCACACAAGTGGATCATTATTGTCTTTGAAGCACTTGCAGCTCTTTAGTGACAAAGCAGCTCTTTGACTAAAGGTTGAGTGCCACTGCTATAAAAACAAATATGGCTTTTAAACCACAATCCTTTGTGAAAACAAAATGTAAGATACTATGGGGTGAATTGATTTCTCAGGGGCTCCATAATGACAGAGAAAGCCTTTCTTTTTCCGAGTTCCTGGTTCCCATCCAACTTCCATGGACTCAGGCACTTCCTGGCATCCACATAAAATGCATCTGCAGTTGCCACCTCTTACTGACAGCTTTATAAGCTTCCAAATCTGAGCTGACAAAGAGCTAGTGGAAACCAAGCTATTCCCTGAAGTCTCTCCAGAACAGAGCTCTGACTCAGTGGAGAAGCATCATAGACTTGCAGTGTATTGCTGCTCCTGGTTCAGTCCCTTTCACACTGTGAACAGCTCTGGTGGTGCTTGGCAAGCAAGGACAATAATGGCAAAGGGCCGTGCCCTTCCGTGTGCAGCTGGCTGTCCTCCCTCTGAGCTGACACTCAGCCATCACTCTCCTATGGTACCAATGTAAAATAAATACGAAGCCAACAGGAATATTCATCATTGAAAAATGCCTTGCAGCAATCATGACAGGCACTGAGATCCTGAATTTGCGCACTGGCAAAATTCAAACTTGCAAATGATAAAAACTCCAGCATTGTACTCCTCTCTCTTTCACGACCCAGATGAACGGCCCTATGCCTGCCAAAAATTTTGGTTCAAATGCAGTGCAGCACTCTTTCTTTTTTGCACTTGGGTGTTCTGCCAAAGTCCAAACTAACTTTTTCTGTTTTATTACTACATTTCCCTACACACAAACAATAGGAAAAAAAAACAACAAAAAAAAACATTGAATTTCAAAACTGAAATCCTGACAAGTAAATTACCTCTAGGGAGACATGGTAAAGTGTGAAGGAGCTGTGAGGGACTCAGCCTGTGTTCCCCCCAGTGGACACTGGAGAATGGCTGTGATGCACCATCCTGGAAACCTGCAGGTTTTGTGCAAGGACCTCCAGCAAGTGTCAGCTCTGGAGATATGTATCTCTTGGTGACTCTGCAGTGAATAGGGATGCTCTATGTATCTCCCTTCCTGATTTGTGTAGTAATTTACTTTGAACAGGACAGGCATTGGTTGACCTTGAGGACTTCAGTGCTCGCCTAGCTGCTTTCCTAGCCTGTTTTGTAGGTGTGGTTTTCACAAACCTCCATCTCCACAGCAGTGGAAGCAGAGCGAGACTGCTGCTGGATGCTTTAAGAAATCTTACCCTGAAGGATAAGCAGTTGGTCTTTGATGAATCTTAAGTGCTTCTAAATCTCCCTATAGACTTCTCCAGATCTCCTATAGAGGAAATAACCAAGGAGTGTTAATGGTACTTTTATGTTGCGTAGATAATCTCAAGAAAACCAAACTTTGTCTGGAAAGCTGTGAAAATAAAATTCCCACAGCAGCTTATGTTCAGTGCTCGAACACACACAGGCTGTTTCAAGTTCTGTTTTCCAGCTAGAAATTGAATTAAATTATTTTTAGGTGATTTGGCTTAAAAATGCCAATTCTGTAACGTGGGGATGTCCAATCATTTGGCTTGCCTGAGCAGCACTGAATGAGGAGGAATTGTTTTGGGCCTCATATAAAGTATATCCTATAGTTAATGTGCAAAAGTAACAAAACTTCTTTTGCTTTTACGTATTTAATTAATACATAAAAAGAAAGTGGGTTGGAAGTGTAGGCAGTCTAATGCTTTGCTGATGGGCACAGATCTGTGAGTATCAGTTTTCACCACCAGATTAGTTTTTCTAGACTATACGAACCAATTAAACCCACACTGTAGCTCAATTTACAGTATTTGCATTATTGAAATATTGGGACTTTTTACTGTGCCCCATTCATTTCTTCAGAAGCTGCTTAATGGGTTCTGCACTGCAGGGTCCCTCTTGAGGACAGACATTGTTTAGGTAAATAAAAATATACTACATGAAATAGCACAGAAGTTGATGAATGAGTGGTCTGGCACCTTTCTTCCATTCAAGTTGAGCACTGGCATTTCCTAAAAATACAGGACACTGGTGGATTATTTTGGGCTTTCGGAGGCATTTGCAGTCTTATATTGTGGTGGTGATGATGTCATGGCCTGCGGGACCTTTCCCAGGTAGAGCATTTCTCACAGTGAAGCAGTGCCACCCAATGGCACTGAAGCACAGAGACAGGGCCAATGTGCTCCAGAGTAGGCATCCAGACACCTGTGGGCTCAGACTTATTGCACCGAGCTGGGAATGAGCTACTGGCAGCCACTCCCATGCACAGTGTGTAAAGACTGAGCAGGACCAACACTAAAAGGTGGTAAGGAATAGTCTCTGGTTTGAAACAGCCTGAACGATTTGCAATGTTGGGGCTGCAAGGAACGTTGGTAGCTTGTTCTCTGTGCCTCTGTGGACTGCTCTCTCAGAGCCAGTGGATTACGCATACGAGGGTGCTTTCATGGGAGGTGGGACACACACAGGGGTTACAACCCTTCGAGTGGGATAGGATGGGCTGAAGCACTGGTGTAAAAGTGTTTTCTTCTCCAGGGGCTCCTGAAAGAGCTGTGTCCCACTATAGACAGGCCATCCACCTGAGCCCCACGCACCATGTCGCCATGGTCAACTTGGGCAGGCTTCACCGCTCCCTAGGTCAGAACAAAGAGGCTGAGGCATGGTACAAGCGGTAAGGAACTGAAGTGGGAGGATAAAGTTTCCCTTGACCCTCCATATGGCTCATTTCTGCTGAAATGCCTGTGATACTTGAAACTGTCAGTGCATGCTTGGATTCTCCATCCATTCAAAATCAGATTTATTTGGCTACTTCTTGTGAGAAGTGCTAGGCAGCACTGACTGAGGCCTCCAGGCTGAGCACACTGCTGCTTTTGGGTTGGGTTTTTTCCAGAGGGATGTTCTAACAACAAGGTCAGAGGTGTTTTCAATAGTTTGAGCAGATTTTTAGTGCTATTCCCACTGTGCTGAGAGTTGCTGCGTCAGTGATGTGCCAGTAACAGCTATAATTCCTACATAGCCCTGCCTTCTTTTTGGCATCCCAACCTGTGCTTGTACTCCCTGCCCCTGCCAGCTATCCCAGCACCCGCTGTATGCTCATATGCACTTTGGATTTGGCCCCTCCCTCTTGGATGGCTGGAGAAATTGTTGCTGTGGGCACACTTATCCCTCCCCATGACCTTAAAATCAAGCTTCCCATGGTGGGATGAGAATGCCATGCAGAGTGGAGGGCCTTACTGCTCCATCTCAGTGCAAGCCACAGCTCACTCTTCTTTGATTCCCACATCACCTGGAAACATCACTTCTTCTCAAATTCCAGGGCACTGAAGGTATCCCGCAAGGCTGAAATCCTGTCCCCGCTGGGGGCTCTGTACTACAACACAGGGAGATATGAAGAAGCTTTGCAAGTTTACAGAGAAGCAGCATCACTGCAGCCTTCAAACAAAGAGACCCGACTGGCTTTGGTGAGTATGGGGTGGGCATGGCCAAGCCAAGGCCACCTGTGGAGCTGCTCACATTAGTGTGGCCAGAGGCTCAGAGCTTGGTGCTGTCTCCATGCCAGCCATCCAGTGACCATCTCTCCCACTCTATTTGTTTCCTCCTCATTTCCTGTCAACCTCAGAACATGTGTCTCAGCCACTATCTTTCCTGGCTGTGTTTGGCCCTTCCATCCTTCCTAGAGGTGTTGCCTCTTAACACCAACTCCTGCCTCAATGGAGCCTAGCACCAGCACTATATATTAGTTAGCTGAGCTTTTAAAATCATAAGTCTTAATATGACTCCACAGGCCCAGGTATTAGCAATGATGGGGCGGACGAAGGAAGCAGAGAAGATGACAAACCATATACTTGATGAAGATGTGGAGTGCCTGGAGTGCTACCGCCTTCTGTCAGCCATCTACAGCAAGCAGGAGCACTATGCTAAGGTACCGTGGTTGCAAGATACCCTTGTCTAGAGGGCTCACATATAGAATTCCATCTCTCCAGAGATGTCATGTCCCACAGCACACAGGAGATTTTTTTTTTCCACTGTGCATCATGATTTTTGAAGTTTATGAGCGCTTCCTGCTTGTGTTGCACTCAGCCCCATTGCCCATCAGCCATAGGCGTCTAAAAAACCCAATTCCACATGCAATAACTGTGGGCAAACAAGGGAAGGAAAAGACTTGTTGCTTTTCTGGCTCGTGTTCTTAGAGGCCTTAGTAGTGGTGAGACCATCAGAAGGTGAAGGGCATAGAATACAGTGATTCAGTGTCCTCTTGCTTTTTCACAGGCACTTGAAGCTATAGATAAAGCTCTTCAGTTAAAGCCAAAGGACCCGAAAATCATATCAGAGCTCTTCTTCACTAAAGGAAACCAGCTGAGAGAACAGAATCTCCTTGATGAGGCTTTTGAGGTATGACTGCTCTAAGCCCCCTGTATAGTTGTATAGGTTAAAATACTAAGTTAGCTCTTTGTGTCTAATACTCCATGATATACCTTGGCTGTTGGCTTTGGTTATTTATCAGTTCATCAGTAGTACAGCTAAAGATAAGGAGCAGCCAACTTCACTAGTTAGTTAGAACTTTTCTCCTCAACAGAGGGCTGCTTTCTACCCTTCACATCTGTCTTTTTTATTCCAGTGTGAAAATACAGCTTCTTGCCTTGAGAGATTAATTGTGGAGTCATGGTGGGACCATAGTAGAGCTCAGGCACTGACCAGACCCTTGATCTATCCTATCCCAGCCCCTCTCACTGGCAGTGGCAACTCCAGGTGGCTCAGCTGAAAGCTCAGGGACCTGTGAGAGCTCGCAGTGTCGTTATATCTCACCTCATTAACTAATAGCTGATAGACTGGCTTATCCTGTAGAACAGAAGGCTTGACAGCTCAGAAATTATGTTAATGCTGAATAATAGCACAGACAATTATGTTATTGGGACGGATCAGACTATTCTCAGTATCCCTAGAGACATGTAATCCTAGTTTGAATTTTCTTCTGTTCTGAAACGGTAAAAACAGTGCTGACAGAGTCCACAAAGTCTTTTTTGCTTGTCCAGAGTACAGTGGCAGAAGCAATGGGGAGGAATAGAGCTGCGCTCAGGTGCTTGTGGAACTCATGTGAAGGTGGCTTTACCATAGTCTGCAGTCAGCTCCAAATTAAAGCCTTGCAAGAGGGAGTGCACACTTCATTATTTTTGTGTGTTGTTCCAGTGCTGGTTATGTTCAAAGACTCAGGCTCCTAACCTAAAAATGTTTCATATTTATGTAGAACTATAAACGGGCTGTGGAGCTCAATTCTGACCAAGCTCAGGCCTGGATGAATATGGGAGGCATTGAGCACATCAAGGTATGTTAATTTTGCTTTTCTTTAAGCTGTCAGCTGCAGGGACTACTTGGGACAGAAAGCTAAATTTTCTTCAGATTGCCAAGAGTTGCACATTTATGCACCTGTATGGATCAGTAATCGTCCTTGACATATTCTATCCAAAAAACAGGAAAGTCTATACAATCCCAGCTAGATTTTCCCAACCAGATTGCTTAGAAATATTTAATATAAATCCCGTGTTTTTAAGAGGACAGGCTGCAAGGATCAACCTGCCCATCTCTTATGTTTCTGTGCCCGAATTACTGACCTACCTTAGAAAAATTTCACAGTGAGCCAACTTCCAAAATTCCTTTCTACCTAATAAGTTTAGTAAAGATGTCTAATGCAGAAGACTGACATGAAATTATGGAAATAGCCAGCTTTCTTATCTTTGTGAATTCTTTAACATATAACTATGATTTGGGTCTTAAGGATTCACACTGTGTGACATCCTCCAGGTATTCTCCAAGAAAAATTAACTCTTCTGGTACAGTATAGTGGAAAAATGTAAATCCACTTTTTGCCACGTATTAGTTTGAATTTAAGTCTACAGCACTCGGTGATCCGTTTCACAATGAAATATTCCAGCTACATAATAATATTCTGTTTTATAAACACTTTTCTCTTGGTATTACAGTTTTCACTTTTCCCAAGCAATGACCTTTCTATGCCAGGGAATAGAAATGCGACCTGTCACTCATTTTCTTTGTAGGGAAACTACATCACTGCCCGTGGCTACTATGAGAAAGCTTTGCAGCTGGTACCAAACAGCAAGTTGCTAAAGGAGAATCTGGCCAAGCTCGATCGCTTGGAGAAACGGTTTCAGGAAGTCCAGGAGAAAGATCAGACATAGCATTCAGTCACACCAGTGGAAAGAAACTTGTACACCTTGGAGAAGAATGCGGTGGAAGCCTATTGCTCAAAGTGACACTGAAGGAATTTTGGCAGGACTCAGAGTTACGGAAGGCAATTTTTGAATGCATGCTTACGTTTGATCAAATAACAGGAGGCACTCTGCTCCTGTGGGACATGCTGGAGAATTACTTAAAACCTTCCTTTAATCCAGATTTATGTTTAGGCTGAACCCATTTTAATCACACCGTGAGTGGTGGGACATATGACTCCAATATCATGGTTATCACTAGGGAAGCCATGGGGACAAAGCACTCATTCATTGAAGCAGGGGTGAAGTAGCACCTCCTGTTCCTCAACACAGGCTGACCTTGTCCACAGAGAGCACCACTGATGAGCTTTGTTGCAAATGCTGCCAGGTCCATCTGGGCCAGGAAGGATGGTCCTATAGGTCACATAAAAAGGTTTCAAAGGGTTAATGGTAAGGAAATGGTGGCCACTGATACAGCTCTAAATGTGACTTGAAGATGATTCTAAAGAAAGGGAAAGCAGTATCTGAATACCACCCTAGAAGGATAATTGAACAACAGGGCCAAATGACCCTTTGAGGAAAAACCTCAGTGGAATGTTTTATGCATATGATAGTCATTTTGTAATAATTTGGGTACATGATATCAGTATTGTTAAATACCATGTAGCTTTACCCTTTGCTCTCTCCCTGCAGGACAAATAAATACTATCCTGCAAAAGTGTGGAAGTATTCAAATGCAGTAAGAAACTCTAGGATTACTTGTCTTCCTGTCCAGTCCCCAGCAAAAACAAAACAAAACAAAACAACAACAAAACAAAAAACAATAAAACTGATTGGTGTAGGAGGTAAAGTAAAGCCGCAGAATGATTAGGGAAATTTTGGCAGGCTGAGAAGGTACTAAGGAGGCTTTTATGGGTGTGCAGGGACAAAGCCCATTCATCATGGTGATAACACTGACAAAACACTTTGTCAGAGCATTCTCACCCCCCCCCCTAAGAGATGCAGAAAATAAGCTATAGCTAATCAGTCATAAATCTCTATTTTTAAATGCTGAAATGGAAAAACAAGTTCTCTTCAGAATTGGGGTTTTTATTTTTGAGCTTTATTTATTTAACTTATACTCAAATGATTAATATATTTTCTCTGTTTTATATCAATTGGGCAGTGTCATTCACAGCTGGGCACGTGGCTGGGCTTTGTCACTTGTATCGTCTGAAGTCAGAAAAATGCAGCACCACTGGAGTGTGCTTGAATAATTCCCCCTGATGATAATTCTAGAGTAAATGGCTGTGGAGCACATTGGGCCAAACTTCATCACAGTAACAGCACTGCTGCTCGTTCTGTTCGTACCAGTTTAGAGAAAGCATGAATGGTTGGTGGTGTTGTACTTGGTGGTCCTGCCTTTGGATGTTGACATCAGGTAGGTCACCAATTTGTTCTTCTTGCTGCAGAAAACTGCTCTAAAACATGTATTGGAGCTTGGTTGTGCCCAGTCCCTGCAGAGTGGCAGCCCAGGGTTTGGCATTGATGCATGTCTTGTCAGGAAGAGCCTGTGTGGCAGTATGTTGCCCAGGTTTACTTAGTGGTGGTCATGACAGCCCTGTGCTGGCTTCACTGGCTTAATTTACAAAACCCGGTGTCTTGCTGCTGCTGTTGGCCAAATTATTGATGTAAAGCAGCTGCATTTGATGCTGAGAGGGAATCCAGAGCAGCATAAACATCTGCTCTGCTATAGCCTGGGGAGCAGCTAGAGTCATGGAGAGGCTGGAGTTGTGAGGTGCCAGGCCCTGCAGCCCAGTAAGGCCAAGAGCAAGGAGATCAGCCAGTGCTTGCAGTTGGGCAGAGGCCAGCTCCTCAGGTTGGTGGGAGGAAGAGGTCATTGGTGGGAGAAGGTGCTGACCTATTTCTGGGCTTTATTCCTTCAAACTAGCTTTGTTAATCCCAAAGGAGCAGCTGGGACCAAGAGCAAGCCTCTCCCTGGTGGGTTATTCCTCCTCCTTGCCTTTAGAGGGTGAGGCTGGGTTTGAGGGCTTGGGGATAGATCAGCAACAGCTCTTGTCTAGTTGCACAACTTTTATAGCCATAGACTTATTGACCTAACATTTCTGCAAGTTCCCAGCGCCAGTGCTGCACTTGATGCCTTGCATGGAGTAGCTTTGCACAGCCCAGGCACTGCCAGGGATCCTACTAGCAGAATCCTGTGGGATGCTGCGTGGGGAAACTAGCACACAGATGGCCTCTGAGAGCTATTGGTCTCCACCATGCATAGAAGAGCTGTAGAGGGTTCATAACCAAGATATTCAGAGGTACCGACACCCAGTGAAGCAGGGAATGGGCCAGGGCAGATGTGTATCATCCATAAAGTTTGTCTCATAAAGATATATTAGATAAATACTATATATTCTACAAGCTGCACAATAGTGTTGCTTTAAATTGTGGCCAATCAAACATATTTTTTCAAATAAAAAAAAAAAAAATATTTTTTATAACAGGGCTTTGTGAAGGGATGATTCGGTTTTGTGTTTATAACTTTAGCTAAAAACTTCATTTGTCTTTCTTGAGAGACCTGGTACAAATGTCTTGTTCTCCTAGAATCCAATCAAAGCCATCTTGGCCTCCTAAAGCTGCTGCACATGTGTAAGTACGATAAGGCTTTGGGTGCCCCCTCCCAGGTCCTGGGAAAGGATTACCATTTTGGTAATGCTGTCTTCCTTGCAGAATAATCTAGAAAGATCAGATTCTCCTTCCAGTGGAGGAGGCAGGTTGGCTGGAAGGCGTCTCATGTTCATCCAGTCTCTTGAAAGAGGCTGTAGCATGTTCATGTAGAATAATCCCAGCTGAACTGGTTATGTTTCTGTGACTGTGTTTATGGTAGTTACTGAGAGAAGAAGGGTGGTTAATGACCCCCAGATTCCCAAAGCAGCACTTTATACCCCATCTATGCAGGGTGATGGTCTGCAAATTGGCAGAATATCTGGAGAGTGATTCAGGCCATGAGCTACCAAAGCAGTTAAACGCTTGCGAAGTTTTGAGCTGACTCCCTGTCTCATTGGCTCCCATCTAAGATGCTGTGTTTATTCAGGACATTAATCTTGTAAAAGATTTATTGCAGGTAAAGAAGAGCAATGGAATATAATACGAAATGGGTTACCTCCACCAAAAGAGAGTACGATTGTGAAAGATAAATAGAGCGACTTACTTTGTGATAAAGTGGGTATTATCCAAACTTATCATAGGAAATGTCCTCTTCTTCTAGCTCTGCATGGCTCATAAAATAATGAATTATAAATACATTGTTTTCTGCCAACTGCGGTGCTCAGCATGGTTAGCAGAGATTACAAATTAATAAATGGCTGAAGCTCCATGTAGTGGAAGGGAGTTTGTGTAAGTTGCGTTGGCTAAACCTCAATGCTCACCAATATTAAAGTGGAGAATTAGCTCAAAGCTGATGAGACGGCTCCTGTCTAATGCTCACTGTGCATTTTAATCCTAAATGGAAAACATAATTGTGTTGCTTTTTCCTTTCTCCATGAATAACATTTTCAGCTGATGGATTTTGTTTTACTTTATTGCTTATTTAAGGTCCAACATTCTTTGCTTTCATTCCTTTTCCATCCCTCAGGACAAATGATGCAGTGGAGGGGATATTTTATCTCTCTCATAGATTGCTTGGACTTGACTTTCCTAAAAATGTGCAGGCAACCTAATTTTGGCCACAGAGTACGTGAATGCAACAGTGAAAATAGCCTTTGTTCCAGAGGTCTCCATGAGGATGGAGGGTGTGTGCATGCAAGCAGGCACGTGAGTGTGAAAAGTCAAAGTTGAATAATTCAAAACAAAGAGCCTAACTTGGAGGGGAAACTGGACACTCCTTGAACTATCTAAACAAGCATCTCAAGCAGTTACAAAACCAAGCCAAAGATGGTGTACAGTATTTGGTGACGGAAGGTAATAGTCATTTTAATTTTAATGATTAGGCCTTTTGGAATGCAATTGTATGATTTTTTGCACTGTTTGCCCTCCAAACTGGTGAAGCAGTTGGCATGTGCTTAAGTCTCCAAAAAGTATACGTGCATTGAATTGGGCAAGTACTGGATTGCTGTTATTCATGTATGAGATAATGTACAATCTTTGGAAAAACTGAGCCCTTGGAGGCGTTTTCTCCCCAAACTTCACTTTCTTGCAGCAATTTCAAAATGCACCATTTTGCTTTCACATCCATTTTAAACACAGCAACAACAACAACAACAAAAAGGAAAAAAAAGAGCTCGGCATTCACTCGTGTTTCATTGTGGCCAAGTTGCTTCAGATAATCTTGGTAACTCTGTGCAGAAGTCCATTGCCATGTTTGTACTGACTTGCTGAAGTTTTTCTTTTGGAAAATACCTGCGGTGATATCCTATGTAAAAGTTACAGCTTCTACAACCGTATTGCTGTAGAAATCTCTGCCCAAAGTGGATGTCACACACGCTGCGTGTTCCTCTGTGTGGGAGTTGTTTGCGTTGGCTGTTGTTCATATGGTTCTTATTTCTGTATCTAATTTTTTGAGATCAGTTATGCATATCTTTTCAAAAGAAAACAAGAGAACAGCCCGTGGATTAGAAGTCTTTTACAAATCAATTCACTCTCAGCAGCTGGATGTATGTCAGTGGTACAGGAATTTGCAAGTCTTTGCTTTTCTCGCTGTGGACATACAGCTAGATTTCACATACAGGAGTTATGCTCAAATTTCTTTGCGAAAGAAAATGTATGTAAATGTCTATTTTATATAAAAAGTAAGAAAAGCAAGTGGTGTGTCTGGCTTTGTTCTGTTGGCTGTGAGGTCAGTCTGTTCCTCAGGAGCAGCCACAGGTAAGTTCTCCTGGAGGAGGAAAGGTGTTTCTTATTCCAGTTGCTTCCCATTTTACTGCCCAAGGAGTCAAACTGATTGCTCACAGAGGAGCGGCTTTGCAGCACATATATGTGCATCTGGTCATATAAAAATATTTCAGCAGGCATTTTTTGGAACTGGAACATGGGAAAAGTCAAGGGCTGGCGCTTATGCAATGTCTTAGTGGTTTGGACACATTATGCTGACATAAGCTCTTCATGTCAGGCTTTACACATCTGTCAGAAATGTATCAAACAAAGCGAAGCCTGTATGGCATAAAGAGAAGAAATAGAAAGGAAGAAGAAACTCCCTTTGTTCTCATTCCCTACTCTCTGGAGGATGTCCTCAGGTACTCCTCCGTGCTCCCCTGGGGCCAGAGTTGTCTCAGGGGATTTATGATGGTGACCAATGGCACTGCTGGAACTGGAAGAAAATCAAAAGCCCTGAAAACAAACCGTAGTGTTTTCTGCCATCTAGGTGTGAGCACAACCCTCTGTAGCGCAAAGGGGAATTGCATGCTTATTTTGAAGACATCCTGTATGTCCTGGGATTCTCCCAGATCTGGACAGTGCATTATTTCATAATGGAGCTTGCTACCCAGCACTCCCTGCCCAGGTCCTCACTTGCACTGATGGAGTACTTACGGCACGCACTTACAGCCTCTCTGTAATCCCTGTATGGGAGGGAAATGCAAACACCACCATGCCTTACAAACACATTTGCCAGCCCACATCTCCTCCTACCCCCACTCTGCTCTCCTGCCCCAACAGGAGTGCTCCTCCTCGCTGGCCTGGGAGGGGAGGCAGGGGGCTCATGAAGTGAAGTAAGGAACACAGCTGCATCACCTTTTCCTGCACTATCAAGAGAGTTTTGCTTCTACAGGCAAAGACTGGGGTGACTTCAGGGCTGGTGGTGGTGGTGTGGGAGCTGTTATACCCTGCTTGTGTCTCTGATGGTACAGCACTAACAGGAGAGACCAGGGAGCCAGTGGTCTCCTGCAAGATGTAGCTAAGAGAGCCTCCAATCCTACCTGATTTGCAGCCCTGCAGCCTCACCTTCCAAAGCTAATTGCCATTCATCCCATCCTGGTTCACTCTGATGTTGGTTCTTCTGCTGTTGCTAATGCAGTTTTTCTTCCCCGCCCAAGGGTATGGTGTTTTCTCCATTATTTACCACCTTAATAAACTCTATTTTCTACTCCAGCAGTAGGTTTGCTGCTATAGCAATAATCACTGCGCTCTCTTGCCAGAAGAGCCAGTCAGCAGCAGAGGCTGGGGAGAGCTCGGTCCAGGTCAGTGGCTTAGAAAATTGTGTCTGGTGTTGTGACTGAGCTTTCTGTGGTAGTCAAATATTTTGAGGCCAACGGTGGATGCCTGAGAGTGACACAGCAAGGTAATAAAATGCTGTATGGGAAGGGAGGGAGGGAGAGGCTCAGAGCCCCTCTGTAGCCACAATGCTGTGTGTAGGGATCCCCATAGCCTTGTGATGAGGGTCTGTGGTTGCTGCTGAGTCTTGGAGCACTGGCCATGCAGTAGGATGTGGGCTCCTCAGCTCACTGGCACTCAAGTATAGCAGTGCAAGTGCCCGTGGGGCTCTTTTGTGCCACTATCCTGATGGAAAGGTAAGTGTGAGCATTCAAGGCTGTGCAGAGGATGTGGCCCAAAGCCAAAGGAGAGCAGATGGGCGATGCTGTTGGTGACATTTTCTCTCCTGGCGTCTCCAGTGAGTTATTTCAGGCTCTTGCTTGGGCAAACACGATGAGTGCCTCCCAGTTACATTGTTTGAAGGGCAGAGAAATGAATCATAGAATTGCTCAGGTTGGAAAAGATCATCAAGTCCAACCACAACCTAACCAAACTACCCTACCTTTAACAACCCACCACTAAATCATGTCCCTGAGCACCACATCCAAACGGTTTTTAAAAACATCCAGGGATGGTGACTCAACCACCTCCCTGGGGAGCCTATTCCAGTGCTTAACCACCCTTTCTGTAAAGAAGTTTTTCCTGATATCCAACCTAAACCTCCCCTGGTGCAACTTGAATCCATTTCCCCTCGTTCTGTCACCCGTCACCAGTGAGAAGAGACCAACCCCGCTCTCACTCAATCACCTTTCAGATACTGGAAGAGAGCAATGGGGTCTCCCTTCAGCCTCTTCTTCCCCAGTTTAAACAGCCCCAATTCCTTCAGTTGCTATGAACTTTTGTCCTGGTCTCCCACCTTGGGACAGGCAGGTGACCCTTCCCCTTGGCTTCATACCATGAGAAACATAGGATCCAAAGTGATTAACAGACTGACTGGCTGGTGCACACACAGTCCAGCTAAGGGAATGCAGGAAGAGCTGCTGTTCCTCTCTCCTCCGAGGAGAGAGAAACCTGAAGCTGGGGCTCTCTGAAACCACCCAGCCTGCAGCAGCAGGCCCCTGGTGTGAGTGCTTACAGTTGGCTCCTTGCTTTTGTGGCCCTCCAGGTGGAATTTGTGCTCCCACATTGTGCATCTAGTGGTTTTGAACACCCTGCCTCTGTGCTGGTCAGTGCACCTTACACCCTGCTGGGTGAGGATGGCTGGGCTTTTCCCTTTACACTTCTTTCCAGGAAATTGGATCACCATGCATCTATCTCCCACTGCACAGTTCAATGAAGCATCTAAAGCTTTATCAGCTCCAGCATGCCTGGCTGGCCTCGCTCTCAGTCAAACTTCTCCCGTGCTTGTTGCTCACATTTTTAAGGCACAGTTGATGCCAAAAGCAATGTGAGAAAGCTTTGTCTCCTTGCAGTGCATTTCAGACCAAGCCAAGACTGAGTGCTAGGTCAGCCTGATTCAGAGATGAGCTCTTTCAGAATGACTTTAGCTACTCTGGTTAAGCGCCGCAGGGCGCTGCTTAGATAAGGAAGCTTTGAAATAATGTGCTTTGAATAAAGTCAGGCAGCACCATTATAATCTGTTGCACTTGTTACTAAGTTTTCCTAAGTTTCAGTTGCATTCTGTTAAGGGTAACTAGTCTACTGGATGAAACCTGAAATTTATCTTATGACTGTGCATGCACACACACTGTGAAAGTACCTCACAGGAGAACTCACTTTTCTGTACATCAGCTTCTCATCAAGAAATGTAATTTTTGTGCATTTTCATTTACCTGCATATCACTTGAAGTTCAGGCTGGAGTCAGGAGACCCATGATAGCTGGGAGCTGTTCTGTTAATTCCCTATCTGCAGAGGTGACACAGTTGAGCATGTGAGATCTGCCTCACAGCAGCACTCTTTTTCCTATCCTCTAAGTAATCCTCAGAAGTGGACTTTGTCCCATTTACCTGAAGAGCCCGGAGAATGTTCTGCTGCTGGGATTCTACTCTTGGATTGTTGGAGGGGGAAAGAGTTCCCGGGGGGCAGCTCCAGCAGGTCTGTGGAGCACTGCACTGACTCCGTCCCGGGGGAGCAGTACTTCAATTTTGCACATTGCCAGATCAGACTCTAGCAAACAGTTTTTACCACCTCCTTCTACCCTAAAACCAATCCCTACACGTGCAGCAGCTTGGAAACGTGTGCAGGTGGTAGCATGAAGGGCAGGAAGGCCTTTTAGGAGGGAAGAGAGGGCAGGGTGTTGGGTTCAAGTGGGTTCCTCTGGATGCCTGGCTGGTGTTGAGCTCCAGGAATGCTCTTGCAGCCGTAAGAAAGATGAGTGGGATCTGTGTGAAGTCCCTTCTGTTTTGGGGTCTTCTAGAGTTTCATTCCCTTCAAATACCTACGGGAGCTGAAGGTGGAGGCTACAGGTCATCCATACCCAGCTTTTCTAGTCTGGGCAGATCTTTGATACCTCATTTTGGGAGCAAATTGGGAGTTACCCCATCTCAAAATTTATCCGACACTTCCTTTGAAGGGCCTGCATTTCTGAGAAAGAAGGAGCAGCAGTGAAGCTTCCTGGTAAAAGCAGCCCTGGCATCTGTCCTATTACCCATAGCAATCACTTTGGTTTCTGCACTTTTAATGCAAGACCAGCTTTGCTAAAGACCTCTTAATGGGCAGGGGCAATGATATAAGCGACGCCTTTGCCAGCCCTTTTACAATCCATTATGCTGTAATTGCAGGCCAGTCCGCTTCACATCTGCTTCTTCCTCAACTTGAGTGACACCTCTGAGAACTGATGTTGAGGAATGACAACAATAAAAACTGTAATGTGCAAGATGAACCTTGATGGCAAGGCACATCACTGTTTCTATTGCCAGTGCTTCTGCTCTCAGCTGTTGTGCTGCCAAAGTTCGTTTCTGTGTTCTCCAGAGGAAAGGTTTCCCTAAATGAAGAAAGTTGTTAATTTACTGAAAAAAGTTTAAACAGAAACTTACAGTGAACCCCCTCTGCAGCTTTTTGGGGCACTTGTTGGAGGCCCCACTTGTCAATTTTCTATGTGTTGGGTAATGCTTCTCTGACAGCATAGCTGAGAGACACACTGAATGGCACCTTGACTCTGCTGGAGCTGATTGCTCTCAGTTGAACTGTGATGTCATATTGCTTATCAAATATGCAGAAAAAGCACAAAAGGCATACTCTTGTTTAGCATTACATGGATCTATATAGTGTAGCTGCCCAAAAAACTTGCTAAAGCTGTTAAATGTCTGCCTCTGCTTATCTTCTTAATGCACCAACTACAAACAGAGAAGAAGGATTTTTGGGGCCAGAATGACTGTGATGCTCAGTTCCCATTGCTTTTAAAGTTTTGCATGTGGTTATGTCCTGAGGGATGGTTAGTGGGCATGGTGGTGATGTGTTGGCTGTTGGACTAGATGGTCTTTTCCAAATTTAGTGATTCTTAATGATGGTAAGATCCTGGACTGCAGGTAACAAGGTCTGAGCTTGGTGTTTCAGGGCTGAAACCAGCACTGAAGTTGGCGAGGCCCAAGACAA